ACAAAAGTGAAAACGGCCCTAATGATACATTTAGGGTCCCATTTTATATACAATACAAAAGAGGCATTCATCTAGTTCATTCGGCAACCATTTAACAAATTTCATTCCAAAAGAGTCATATTCCTGTAAGGAAAACAAAAGACATGAGGTGAGCTAAATGCCCAGTGAGAATACAACCACCATAGCAACTAAGATCACATAAGCATAACCGTTCAGTTCAAGTATGCAAATAAGAAGTAAATCAAATCAGTGAAAGGATACGGACGGCTCTCAAGAGCCCATTTCCACGCTTATTTCTTGATCCAACCTCATTGACCCTCCGTCAATGTTAAAGAATAACCAACCGTAGACAACTCTTTACTTCCATTCCTTCCACCCAACATTCCCCAACCGGGCCCGCACTCCATTCAGTCATTTTAGTAATACTCGAGTATACCGGAACCAAAGGTTTCATTACCACAAGATTCCGCAGTACAGTCCCCGAGGCATGTCAATTTTCACGACCAAACCCTCGCCGGCTCGATTCAATTGACTACCTACGGGGTTGAGCTCAGTAATGCAGTAAGGTCGTTGGACATTCGTCTAAACAACACCAAATCAGTTTCCATGAAATGGAATGCAATGACTCATATATCAAGTTCAGTAAGACAGTGAAACAGTAGACAATCAGTGCTACTATCAAAAGGGGTGAGGGCGGTCAAATACACCCTCACCTTAATCAATTACAATATCCAAATAAGCCTTTAAGGCAACACAACCACATATAGCAAAGCCACATTAGAACATTTAAGTGAGTAGTATACTCACCAATCAAGTAAGTGATACTTCATGCACCGCCGTTAAACGAACGTCGTGCACCAACGTCACTTCCTAGAACATGCAAACAAATGCAATGAGACTCGATAACGAGTCATATAGCCATACCAATTATAACCCTAATAGGGTTTCATATGCATAAATAAGCATCATAGGTAACCAGAAATTAAGAAATGGCATTAGCTTAGGCCTTAATAAAAAAACAGTTTTCGTCATACTTTTGCGGTAATGGCACAAAATGCGCTACACTTATCGGATGAGAGTGTAAGACCCACCATCTCGAAGCTAAAAGATAGGGCTACAACAATGTAGAAGGCCACTCAGTCCAAATCCTAGCACAACTAGGTCAAAAATGCAGATTACCAAACCAGAACCGCAATTGCAGGTTCTCAAATCACACAAAACTGTAATTAGTCTATTTCAGTCTACACAAGTCCAAATGCATTGATTCCAAAGGCATATGATAGCTAAGACATCCAGATACATTTCATCAGAAGACACCAATAACAAAATCCAAACCAATTCCAGTCAAAATGGCCAATTACTAGTGCAGTTTTCGCATTCTGATCAACCCAGAACAGCAACAGTAAAATCGATATATCTCACTCTACACTAATCCAAATGACCTGAAATTTTGCAGGCACTTCAAACTCATCAATACCTACAACTTTCATGTTTTGAGCAAAGTCCAATTCGGCCTCTAACCCTATGATCCAAAACCGGACAGAATTAGGGGTTTTGAAACCCTAACATTTCACATTTCAATCCAAATCCAAAATTGGTTGCTATTATCACCAATTCACACCTACTAGTGTCATTATAGGCCATTGCCAATCATCATAAACAACCACACCATCATAATCCAATTAAACCAGAAAAATCATCAATAAAATAAAAATTCACCAAATCACTTCAAACCAAGATAAAAATCAGAAATTTCAGCACTTTAATCACTAATAAGTATAACTTAAGCTTCATAAGGTATAGGAGGGTAGTCAATCACCACTTACCAAGTAAACAAGAGAGAAGAAGATGTTGGACACCTTAAGTTCTCCAAAAAGCTTCACCAAAACACTCACTAACACCAAGTGGAAGGATTTTAAGGAGTAAAAACTAATTTAAGCAAGTAGTTTGGATGATTTGAGCTAGGAATTTGCCAAGATGTTGAAGAGTTTTGTCTTTCTTCTTGCTAGAGAGGGCCGGCTATCAAGGGGTGAAAAATGGTAATTTTTTTGTGAATTTTGAAGATATTTAATCCATAAGTCAAAAGGTCAAAGCCATGAATAGTAGTCTTAAGTCCTAACCAACCTCATGGTGACATGTGGCACTACAATAAATGCATTCCTATCCTTTCTTTTCTCTCTCACATCAATCATTTCACACACTCTACTTATCTATTAACACCCGATAAATTTTACACAATATCCGGAATTTAACCTAATTGGCCGAATTTTTCCGAACTTTTCGCACTAGTGGGTCCCACGTCCAATATATATTTTTAATTTTCTAAAAACTCTCCAATATTAGAAAAATTATCTAAAAACTATAATTACTCATAAAATCCACCAAAAAAAATATTCCTAAGCCAGAAAATGCAGAAAACATGCAATTAAGGGGAACTAAAACCCTAGGAAAATGATTAGGGTTTTTTTTTTTTTTACGGGTTCTCACAGTTGTTAATCAACTATACATAAAAAAGTAAACAAATATAGTAGTTGCTTTATTTTTTAGAATACACTTTTAAATATTAAGTTTTTTAAAATTCTAGTTTGCCAATATCTTTTTAAATAGTCAATTTGCTAGTAATATACGCTTCTTGATTATGATTGGCATATATTAATTTTTTACACTATACAATTTGTCTTCAATTTTCTAATAGTGTAAACAAATAAAACAATAAGGAAATTATAAGTAAAAAATAATTATGTATTATAATAAATATATAAATTAGTAATACTAATATCAAGGTGAAACAAAATAGTGACATAAGGAAAATAAAAAAAAGGAGAAAAGTAAAAGAATAAAAATACAAAAATAAAAGAAAGTAGTGGAAAAATCATGATAATGGAATGAATAAGTAGAAAGAAACAAAATAAAACAGTAAGGGTACTTTTGTCTTAAAATATCAAATAGGGGGGTAAAATACCTATTTAGTGAGTTCAAGAGCAAAACGCAACTAAGGGGTAAGGTTTAAGGGGATTTGGTGCATGTAACCCCTTGAAAAAGAAAAAAATTCATGACACTTTGTCCCCTTGAACTAAGGGAACAGTCAAACCACTTTACCTCTTTCAATCTGAAATACATACATTTTATCCCTTACAAAGAGTAGTCAAAGTTAGAGATATATTTAAAAAAAATAGTGAGTGCAATGACCTTATGACCCATTTTATTCATGAACTTATCTGCAACGTAGTATCATTTTATTTCATTGCCAAAAGATTTACATCTTCTCTATCGCATCAATTATACAAAAATATCAAACTAAATCAAATACAGATATATTGCATGCTATTTATATTATTTAGGTGAAATCAAATAGATATATACATGAGTTAAAAAAAAAAAGAAACTATTCATACACATGATCAATAAGAGATAAAAAATTCATTTGGTGAAATGCAAGAGATGAAAAAATTTATTTTTTGAAATGTGAGGGACGAAAAAATTCATTATGTAAAATATGAGGAACGAAAAAATCAAATTATGTGAAATTTGATTTGACAAATTTGCCCATAAAACATGATCATGCGCAAGGCACGTGGTGGATTCCGGTAAAAAACTATTCGAAAATCTAGGTAGAGATCAAATTTGACCAATGTAAATTTGTAAGTGACGTAAAATTACACTTTTAAAAATGAGGAATGAAAAAAGTCATTTTACAAAATATGAGGGACGTTTTGAACGGTTTTCTTGAATATTAACCCAACAAGAAAAATTTTAAGGACATAAACTAAATATATACTTTAACTTTTTTTTGTCTTTTTCTAAAAAATTGGTATATAGTTGATGTAATAGAGAATATGTATATTTTTTAACAATGAAAGTAAATAATATTACATTATAAACAATTTCATGAATAAAATGATAATAATGTGATTGCACTCACCTTTTTTTATTGTATTTCTAACCTTGACTGATCTTTATGGGAGTAAAGTGAATATATTTAAGGTTAAACGGGGTAAAGTGTGACTATCTACTAAGTATGGGGGCAAGGTGTTATTAACCAAAAGAAAACAATGGTTAATCACAATTAATCTGTTTAAGGTATACTCTATTTTTCACTTTATCCCTAACCTTTTTCTAATTACCCGTCTTTGCCCCCTTTGAACAAAATTACCCTTTATGCCCTTTTGAACAAAATTACCCCTCTATTATTCTAAATTCTTATATTTTTCTCTTTTTTGTTTTTTTTGCTTTCCCTCTTTTTTCTTCTTTATTTGCTTGGTCTCTTTCTTTTTCTTTACTTTTTCCTCTCCCACGAGGAACTTCATCTGAGTGATTGAAACTAGGAAAAAGGAATTGCAAAGATTTTTTTTCTTCTCAAATGGTCATTACATATTCAAACCCTTTCTCCAAAATAGCATATTTTGAATTTTCAATTCTTTTGCTTTTTTCACATTCCTATTCTAGTTTCTAATTTTATTCTTAAAAAATCACAAGATGAATTTGTGACTTGATTAATGATCATTAAATGCAATTTGTGACACATGACATTATACAAAATATTGAAATAAGCTTTTGACATCTTTTCATGCTCTACCCATAAAATCAATTGCAAATTCTAAATAAAGTTTTTCGTTAAGATGAAGTTTCTATTATGAACTACGGAAGAGAGAAGAAAATAGAAAGCAAAAACGAAATAAAGTAGGGGGAAATGGGGAAAGAAAAAAGAATAAATGAAAAGCCAAAATAATAGAATGATAATTTTGTCATATACAGGATTATGTGACAAAAATTAAAGGCCAGAGAGTAAATGAGAAATGGGATATTCATTCAGGGGATTAATTGTAATTAACCCAAAATCCAACCAGTAGTAATACGAGTACAAATAGACAAACTTTTCTCTCTCCTCTCTGATTTCATTTCTTTTTTTTTTATTCAAGTTTACTGCCAATACATTTCCTTTGTTATTCAATTTACGACTGGTAGTAGTAATTATTCTTATAATATATATATATATAAGCGAGACAGAATTCTCAGAAGAAGAGTCTCGTCGGAGCTTCCAATCCCAGTTTCCAATTTCGCACCACCACCGCTATTACTATAGTCCAGGGCCTTTTATTTTTGGTTTTGTTTTGGATTCTTTTAGGGTTCTCGGTGAGTTTTTCTTCTTACACCTTACTCGGTTACTCTCGTTCTTCTCTTCCTTCTTTTTGTATCTTCTTTTCATCTTTCCTTTGCTTTTCATTTTCTTTTTCGAGCTTCTGATTCATCGTTTCTTTCTTCATCTTCTCTCTATCACCCCCGCTTTCCCCTTAAAAAAAAAAATATTTTTTTCCTTCACTTTTGTAATTTACTTCCAAGTGTTAAAGTTTCGATTTTTATTGCGAGTGTTGACTCGGAATTCTTGTTTATCAGTAATTTTGCTGTCAGTTTCGTGTTCGTATACATGCTTCTGTCCAGCAAAACATAAACATATGCACTGATTAATTTCCGCTGTTTCTTTGCTATTCTGCGTTATCACTAGACTTCTTAACTTGTTGTTTATGCCGTCATGGTATAAAAATCCCTTTTTTCCCGCCCCTCAATAAACCCCTCCCTCAGTTACTTTCAATTCTGAATTAACTTGCAAGCTTTTTCCATCTTTTCGGTACAATAAGGCGACCTAAATTTTCTCTTATTTCAGAACTTGTCATAACTGCAAGAGACTTTTAGTGCCGTAAATGATACTAGGACTTAGGACATTTATTGTTTTTCTGAAATGAATACTCTGGCTTTGCACGAATTTTAGCTTATTTGTCTGTCTGTCTGTATCTGTATGTTGACGTCGCGTGATATAAATGCAGCATCTTACTTTTGCCGAATTCCAAAGGCTTTTCTTTCTTTTCCTCTCGGAATCTACGAAATGAAGAACTAGATATGGTGATTGCTCATTCCTGGTTGTGCAATTGACGGCATTTTGTCTGCCTGAATCTATATTATATTCAAAAGTCATGCAGGCCATCAAAATGATTTCTTTTTTGACGTTTTATGCATTTCTCTGCCATGCCAGAACCTCATCCTCCATCTAGATGTCGAGTACTTCGAGCCTTATCTTCAGTTTTCATTTTCCATCATAATTCCATGAAGTTATTGCTTTTAATTCAATTATATTTCTAGCCTCTGATTTTGCAAGTTGAATACATCCATTTATTCCTCGTATGTTTGTTTGCTGGCTCCTTTTCTGTATCGTCTTCCAATTTTGAGTCCATCACAGAGAAGGGGGGAGGGGGAGGAAGATTTTTGTTTTTATTACTGGTTCTCCTATATATGCAAAATGCGTTACTAATAATTTCTCAGTTTTGGTGTTAGAAGGGTATGTGATAATTTGCTTCAGAGAGCATTTGCCTATCATTCTTCTGACGGTATGGCAACTGAGAGCCCCGTGAGAATTGTGGAAAGTACTGGAACTGGGAAATGGGCCTCCTCTAAGGGTGCTGCATCATTCAGGTCACCTTTAAATAATTTGGTTGCCGATGAGTTGGGTTTACTTCTTAAGGGGAGTAAAATTCATGGAGATCATACAAGCATGGTTCCTAATCGTAGTGGCAGTGCACCTCCAAGTATGGAAGGCTCTTATGCAGCCTTCAGCAATCTCATATATCCACAGAGGTCTAGCTGGGATTCAAGTATGGGTAGTTCAGGCAGGGCCTTTGACTGTTATCAGACTGGCAGGCAACTAGGTGTTGATCCATCCAATTTTGGATTTGCTTCCTCCAATATTGACTTGAGTGCAAGGTTTCCTCAGTCTACCATGTCAAGGGAGAGTTGGCACCAGGTACACGACATTGGCACTCTCAGCAACAGTTGGGGTTTAACACCTTCTGGAAGCAGTGGTGATGGATCTTTACTCTTGGCTAGAAGTTCTCTTTCCACTCATCCTGAGGAGCCTGAAGATGATAACTCAACCCAGCAAGCTTCGGATGATTGGGCTGAAAATAGTACTTCTATTCCTGAACAGAGCATATTCTCTCTATCTGGCCGCCATAAAAGTTTGGTGGACTTAATACAGGTATTGTTCACCCACTTTGCAACATATATTTGCATAATATTGCAGGGCATCTTGATTTTTCTTTGGCTTTTGGGTGAGGGAGGGGATTGTCTAGGCAGCTAGGGTGAGCTGTACTGTTTAAACAACCTGTTTGGTCTTGATTTTAGATTTTCCCAACTTGGTCCACGACCGAGTCCAAGAGTACCTCTAGGAGTCTGGATGTTCCTTCTGTGAGTATGACTATGTTTCGCTCAACGATTATTAGCAATGTCCAATAACTAATTAGTCTCAGAGGCGTTGATCCCTTAATGAACTTGTTCTTGCTGTTTTACATTGTGAATTTGTGATTGTGTTCTAAATGTTCTCTATCTTGATGAAATTCTTTAGGAAGACTTTCCTCGCACACCTTCACCGGTGTACAATCAGTCTCGTTCAGGGCATGTTACAACAGATGAACCAATTGATGATGAGGTCCAAGCTCTTGAACTGCACAATCTTTCTCTTGATATCTCAAAGTTACCTGAATTAAAATCACCTTCAGATTCTGGTGCTAGACTTGAAATTTCTCACAAGTTAAAAGCCATTGATGATTCCTGCACTACCTCCTTGCCAAAAACATCTTATCTTGACAACCTAGAGAGGTCTCCTTCAACTCAAAAGGATGACAGAAGTAAGGACCAGTGCTTGGAAGTTGAGGTTATGAGAGGTCATCCCTCTACGTCTGATGATAGAAACAAACAAGAAAACAAATTCTACGAGAAGAACATACTGCAGCAGCAGCTTCCTTTCTCTCAACAATGCTCTCATTTCCAATTTCAGACGTCTCAAGATCAGGTTACTGGTCAAGCAGTTAATAATATGAGCAATGTCCATGGAAAAGTTCCACAAAGCCACTTTAATTTTTCGTATGAGGCACAGCCAGTGCTACAATCTCCTGGGTTCACGCCTCCTCTGTATGCTACAGCAGCAGCATACATGGCTTCAGGAAATCAATACTATTCCAACTTAAGTCCAACTACTTTATATGCTCCACAGTACAGTATGTCTGGATATGCATTAGGTTCTGGTTTTATTCCCCCCTTTGTGGCTGGATATCCATCACATACAAGCCTCCCAATGCATTTTGAGACCAGTTCTGCTCAAAGCTTTAGTGATCAAAGTACTGGTGTTTCAACGGGGGAAAGTACTGTACAAGTGGGTGATTTGCAACATTATAACAAGTTTTATGGTCATCAGGGGCTAATGGTGCACCCTCCTTTTCCTGATCCTTTTCACGTACAGTACTTTCATCCTCCCTTGGAGGATGCATATACAGCACCTTATGGTCGTCCATCCTCGATGAATATGATAGGGGGTCAATTTGATTCTTATGCTTCACAAAAAAATCCGAACCTTCCTGCTTATATTGGTGATAGAAAATTTCAGCCTGCACCAAGCGAAAGCATAAGCATTTTAAGTCCAAGAAAAATAGGGACTCCTGGTACTAATTACTATGGAAGTCCAACAGGCCTAAGTTTCATGCCACCGTTTCCTGGATCCCCTCTTGGTAGCCCAGTACTGCCTGGATCTCCGGTGGGAGGGACAAATCCTTCAGGGAGGAGAAATGACCTAAGATATTCTCAGGCTTCTGTGAGAAACACTGGTGTTTATGCAGGATGGCAAGGGCAAAGAGGATCTGATGGCTTCAGTGACCCCAAGAAGCATACTTTTCTCGAAGAACTGAAATCAGGCAATGCTCGGAAGATTGACCTCATTGACATTGCTGGGCGGATTGTTGAATTCAGGTAGTCTTTCCTAACGAGCCCCTTTACTTGTCTGTGTGGTGTCATTTTCTGTGACTATGACTAGAGAAGAATTATTTTCTCTGCATGTCTTACTTCAGTGTTGATCAACATGGAAGTCGATTCATCCAACAGAAGTTGGAAAATTGTAGTGCTGAAGAGAAGGCATCTGTCTTTCAAGAAGTTCTTCCTCGTGCTCCAAAATTAATGACAGATGTTTTTGGTAATTATGTCATTCAGAAGGTGCAAATTTGAAAGTGTACGATCTCTTTCCTTGTTTTATGCGTATACATTCACTCTACTTAGGGAATTGTATTGTCCATTTCTATCGAGGCAGTTCTTTGAACATGGGGATCCTGAGCAGAGGAAGGAGCTAGCGCATGAGCTATCTGGGCAGATGCTAACTTTGAGTTTGCAAATGTATGGATGCCGTGTTATTCAGAAGGTATGTGGATGTAGAGGATATATCAATGGGTGCTTATTCTCTGCAAGTGACAGTTGGCTCTTTAAGGAAGTAAATAGATTTTGGGGTATACATTCTCTAATTATTTGGCAGTTTCAGATACTCTTTAGTGTTAGTATTGTGGTTTATTTCTGTGTTGATCTACTTTGTATTCTTATCAAGTTCTGTACTTCTGTTGGTAATTTGTGTTGTAGGATTCTTTTTTAGTATTCTACTTGGTTCTACTCCAATTTCCTAGGAATTAGAAGCAGTTTTATTACTGTTTAACAAGAAAATTGAATACAGGAAATTTTAACCAATAATAGTATGACTTCCAAATCCCTTCATTCTCTTTATGCACCAAGTAGGCCAGTCTCAGGAATATTTGTATCCCCTATACCTTTCCTGTTTGTCGTCCCTTCTGAATCCTTGAAGCTGAGAAACTTATGTTGCCTGCAAGTGTTTGATTTTGGGGAACATGACCTAGATCGATTCCCTGCATCCTGCCCATGGTCAAAAAATATGATTATTATCAGTGGTTGTTCCCTGTTACTTATAGATTTAACTACTTTTTCTTTTTTAACGGTGTTGATTTCTGGTCGGCTTACATTCCAGGCTCTCGAGGTAATTGAACTTGACCAGAAAATTGAACTTGTACATGAACTGGATGGGCATGTAATGAGATGTGTACGAGATCAAAATGGCAATCATGTGATACAGAAATGCATCGAATGTGTTCCTGCAGAAAAGATTGGTTTCGTTATCTGTGCTTTTCAGGGCCAGGTTGCTACATTGTCCACCCATCCATATGGTTGCCGTGTTATTCAGGTCCTTTGACATATCTTAAAATCTAATCATCGTTGAAGTTCTTGTAGTGCCTTTGTATCTTTCAACCACTTCTATTAAAATATATCTTTTGGTTTCTTAGAGAGTATTAGAGCACTGCTCAGACGACTCACAAACTCAGTGCATTGTGGATGAGATCCTGGAATCAGCTTATGTTCTAGCTCAGGATCAATATGGAAATTATGTCACCCAGGTTTGTTTCACGATATCACTTCATGAATATGCTGTTTAGAGTTCATAAACCTATTCGTGTACTTTCAATAATCTTTTTAGTTTTGGTGCTCGACCTGATATTTTTCTTTACTTTTGTACTATAGATAAGAGATACTCCTCATGAACATCAGGGATTTAAATCCTTAAGTTATTAAGCTAGACTATATTTTTCTGTCATGACTGCTGTGGAGTCTCATATATACCAATTCATTCAATTTCTTTTCTAAATTTTACTGTTTAGACTTTCTGATTTCGAGAATCTGTTTCTAAGTCAATTTCACTTTGTCATCTGTAGGGTACTGTTCTTTCCTGTCTCTCCTTTTAGGATTCAGCGCTTTATTATAGTTGTGGTACATTTTTAGGGTTTTGGTTGTATTCAATCATTTTCAAGTTCATTTAGGGAAGAAGGAATTGTGGTAGGTACAGTTACTTGAAGCGTTAATTCACTAATCAGAAGACTTGCTTCAGTGCATATTGTAGCCACATATTTTCTTCAGTTGACTGAAATCAAGACCATTTCTGTAAACTATTTCAAATAGGTTCTATTGTCAGTTCCCATTGTTTGGCTGGTACAATTGGATGTACATTGACTATATTCAACCTTGGGGGTTCTGGAGTGGTTTGAGTTTATCTATGCTTGGACATAATTTCCATCTCCTTCTGACTTGTCTACCACTCTTGTATGGTTTTGGTTTTCATTTTCTTTTTCTTGAAAGAATCATGTTTACTCCCAGTTCTATTGTTTATTTCTTTCAAGTTTTAGTTTAGTTGTCTCTTCCAGTTAACTTGGACCAATTTGGGAGCGCCATATCATACTCGTTAAATCCATTAGTTGGGTGATTCGGTTGTAGCTCTATGTCTAATTTACCCTCCTCACTCAGATGTGAGAAACAGAAAATGAATTAGAAACAAATTTCTGACGGTATAACTTTCATTGTATTCTTATTCAGTCTTGTAATCCTTCCACTATTGGATGGTAACATAGTGCTCCCAGATTTTTCAAAGAAAACTTCATCATGGATTTGAATTTTGAGAGACTTATATGCATACTTTAATTGCCTGGTTGAGTGGAGTAATAATGCACATGTTAGCATTTCTCTTGCAACCAAGAACCATAAATTCATACTACCACATCCAGTTTTCTCATCTAAAGAACTTATGTTCATATGCCACCTATAATTAACATACATGGGCTAGGAAGGTTATGTAATGAATGAGATTGGTCAAACCTATTCATTTTTCAAGCCTCAATTGAGTTTGAACTCCGAATGAGAACATTCAGGGTTACCGATCAATTTGATGAAATTGCAAACCAGACATGTTAACCATTCCGTTCATATGGCACCAAAAGTTGATTGATTCAGAGTATTTGATCATCTCATGCGAGCAACTTGATGCATTCAATAATTTTCATGCTGTGGTTTGGACTTGTTTCCAGGTGTCGTCTGTACACTGAATATACAACAGAAAATGAAGTCACTAATCGTCCACAAGCCCCTTCCCCTCCGTATAAATAAGAATAATACCAGGAAAAAATGAGAATAAACAAGACACATATATAATACCAGGATTACTTTTGGTTTGCAGCATGTCCTGGAGAGGGGGAAACAACATGAAAGAACTCAAATTATCAGCAAATTGACTGGGAAAATCATAGTAATGAGCCAACATAAATATGCATCAAATGTTGTTGAGAAGTGTTTGGAGTATGGTGATGCTGCTGAAAGGGAGAGCTTGATTGAGGAGATTCTTGCTCAGCCAGATGACAATGACAATTTATTGGTAAGTGCATATACCTCTTGAAAATTTTTTCTCTTCAAGTTGTTTTCATAGAATTCTGACATGGTTTGACTTAATTATTGCTCTGTGAATTATTCTGGGGATTCTGATGGAAACTGAAGCTGTTTCCAAGTGCATAGATTGGAGTGGTCAATTTGATATTTTGAATTAATTTGGTGCTCCATATTCAAGTTTGGTAAATTTATTTTGCTCCTCTAAAGAGGACTCTGGACATCAAAATGCATAGTTGTTAATCTCTATTTTTGGAACCTAGGTTCACCCTCAATGTGTATATGTATTCTAGAAAAGCCTTGTCAATTTTTGTATACTTCAGAAAATGAATTGATTGCAATGCCTTTTGAGGTCCCACCTATGCATTATTAAGATGCATTTATTTGCAATGATTCTTTGACTACTTACCTATTCAGCTGAGGCACCCCATTGCCATGCCTGAAATTGCTTTTATTTTTCAATGATCCTTTGACTACTTACCTAATTAGCTGAGGCACTCAATTGCCTTGCCTGAAATTCACGTTCTAACTGCAGAGTGTCCTATGTGTTGGTGCAGATATTTTGGAGAAGTGAGATAAATAGGTGATGGGTGTGAGAGAGGAGAGAGAATGCATCTTTACATGGACTTTAAGCTCATCTGTGCGAGGGTGCTCACTGCTGTAGTGGCAGTGGAATTTCTTAGGTAAGTTGTCAGGGGAAAGAGGTGGGGGTTGGGGAGGGTGCAGAGGACAAGAGATTACATGAGAATTATGTTTAGTTTCTTGTATAGACGAATACAGTTGGCTCACTTGTTTCTTCCGCATCTCATGATGAGTTATGTGCATACTAGAGTTCTTGACAAGGTAGAATTGGAAGATGGGGTGGAAACTTCCTGGGCTGGGTGGGATCACCTTGGCCTGTATCTAGGCAGCTTTAATACAAGTTTGAGAATCTTTGTAAAAGCCAGCCTGTATATCCTTGTTGCCCTGTCTTTTGCGTAACCCAAGTAGATATTTGATGTTGTGTAGTGCGAGTGAACTTAAGCATAGCATAGGATGATTGAGTATCAGCTAATGTCCTTAACAGTTTGATTGTTTTCCCCCCTTCAATATCTCCAAGAATGTTCTTCAGTGTCATTCCTTGCCTAAGAGATCCTGCGTCTTTTTTTGATTGGATCCCTATCTCAAAGACAATACCTATTACCTTCACAGATAAATCTGACAAACTCATGGAATGTCTCTTGCTAGCAGTGAACCTACCCTACTTAGCTTATATTAGTGTTGAGAGCTTTTTTGGATGTTTCTAACTGAATTGGGGTGTGGGAGGTGTTGTCTGGCCAAAGTTGGGGAGAAGAAATGGTATAATGTAACTAATTGTTCTCTGCAGCTTTGCCCTAATTAAGATTCTACTTTAACCTTAAAGTGAAAAAGAATTTTTGAAGTACTTGACAACTTGTTCCTCGATTTGACTGTGTGTGTAAATTTGTTGTCTTTGGAGTTTCAACTTTTTTTGGGTAGCTTTTTAACTTTATTATAAATTGCAAATTGCTAAAAAGGAATCATGGGAACTAACACCCCATGCTTTGGAGCATGGTTTGCCTGGCCTTTTGAAACACTATTTCAGATCGTCTGAGGACTAGTATCATGGTTTACAGAGCATTCTATAGAAGGCCTTTGCTGGTGAAGTTGAGAAAAAGGAGAGAGAGGGGGGGGGGGGGCGCCACTGTGTGGAGATTGGAGGATGGTAACTTTTTATTTGCAAAATGAAAAAAAGATAGCATATGTTTCCTTCTGATAGAGAGGTTTTAGCTTCAACATAAATGAGTGTGTCTGTGTTATTGTCTTCATCAGGAGAATGGCAGCATGACAAGATCACTAGCTTTGTCCGTGAATATTCTTTTACTATTTTTCCTGCTCTTCATTATGGGTGTTAAACGCTCAACATGCAGTTCATCCTATATGTTGGCCCCCCCCCCCCCCCCAACAACCAAAAAAAAAACCAAAAAAATGGTGTGCAAAGATGTGTTTTGACCCTTATTATCGTCTTTGTTTTGCTCGATGTAGACAATGATGAAGGACCAGTTTGCGAACTATGTAGTTCAGAAGATTCTGGAAATAAGCAACGATAGACAGCGGGAAATATTACTTAATCGAATCAGGATACACCTGCATGCTCTGAAGAAATATACATATGGGAAGCACATTGTTGCTCGATTCGAACAATTATCTGGTGAAGGTGCGTGGAATGCTGCCCCTTTTTTTGTTTATTTGCAATATGGTGTGACATATATATTGTTGGAACCACACAAAGCACAAAGTATTAAGACATGCAACTGGCTTAGTGGCATGGCACGGTAGGTTGATCGTTCCTGTTTGGAGTAGCTAATTCTGTTAACGTTGTTAGATTTTGATTTGAGTACCTGAAGTTGAGTTTCAACTTTGTGCTGCAGAGTGTGGGAGCTCTGAAGCTTAATGGATTGGGAGTAAGGATTACGAGAACAGCTATTTATTTCTGACCAGCGGAAGCATTTTGTTGCTGGTGGAGGGGACCCGAGCCTCCTTTGTTGGAGGGGATAACATCTCAAACAATTGGTGTACTCTTTAGTAGCGTTGATATATATATATGTATAACTGCATGCCATGCATTTACTAGTAATTGTAATCACCAGCTTGATGCTGCTACTAGTGGTAGCAGTGGCAGTACTAGTAATTTTTTATTTGGGGGCTCAAAAAAGTAGTAGTACTTGAAAACAGTACATATCTGTATCCTGCGGCTCCGTCTGTAAGTTGTTCAACTATACAAGTGTATGCTGATGTATAGTGGTAAATTAAATGGGGGTATTTGTTTCACTAGTAACATCTACCGATCGATCACCCCATGTCAAGTAATTTTCTTGATTCTGAACCCTTTTCAAACTATAGATCCCAAATTTTAACCCGAATTAACCATAATAAGTCGGCGCCTCGAAAACAGATCACAAATAGGTTGAATTATACAAGTTGTTTTTTTTTTTTAATTCATATATTTATTTATGGGTCAATTTTTCAGGGGGGCTAAATAAATTGTACAAGTTCTGAAAAAGAACATTTTATTGATGAGAGAAAAAAAAAATATACCTACGAGATGAAGTAGGATATGTGACGGGCATAAATGATATTGCCGTCCACGAAGAGAACAATTTTGATGGTTACAGAGAATTCCGGGGCAGATGGAGAAAGGGCGTTGAATTGAATCAAAAGTAAAGAATGACAAATTGAATACACAGAGGTGCCAATTTTTCTCTAGTTAATGATGATTTGACCGGTCGCGTACCGGTCACCATCCTATTTTCCACAAAAGAAAGGAGCGAAATGAAGGAAATAGAACATTAGCAAAAAGAAGAAGAAAAAAAGTCCCAAAAGGGGGGTTGACCGGTTGCAAATTATGAACGACGGATAGTTACTAAATAAATTGGGCTAATATAAGAATACATTTCTAGAAGTGAAAAGTAAATGGTATGACGTTGAGCATGGAGGCAGCAGTAGCAGGCAACGGGCAGGGCGGGGACGCCGGGACGAGGAAGGTGGTGGGGAAATTCGGCGGCGGAGGCGGAAAGCCCCTGATAGTGATGATATGCGGGTCCCTGGTGTACTACCACTGCGCCTACCGCAATTCCAGCCTGGTGTCTCTGGTCTCCGACGTCTTCATCGTCCTGCTCTGCTCCCTGGCCATCCTCGGGCTCCTCTTCCGCCAGATGAACATCCAGGTCCCCGTCGATCCCCTGGAGTGGCAGATTTCCCAGGATTCCGCCAACTCCATCTTCGCATGCCTCGCGAACACCATCGGGGCGGCCGAGTCTGTCCTCAGGGTCGCCGCCACCGGCCACGACAAGCGCTTGTTTTTCAAGGTACAAATACAACAGGGGGCCCCAAACCCACCTCCTCTCCAGTCTCCTACTAAAATACTACTAGTAGAATTTTACTAGCTCCCCGGCCCTTGGTTGTTGAAATTGTAATAAAGAAGTTTTCCTCCATTGTATTTATTTATCAACCGCTTTCTTTATTTGTTGACGATGCGTACTTACTGGTATTCTAGATTTTAAACTATTGCTGTGCCATAATAATTATTAAGTAACACAACTAGTAGTAGTAGTAATAAAGAGGACAGCCACCAGAATGAGTTAGTAGCTTGTGAAATCATTTTAATAATTAGGTGATTTTTAGTCGGCATGGGAACCTAAGTGAAGCGAGCATTAATCACTAATTTCTTTTGCAGGTTGTTGCTAGCCTTTACCTGCTATCGGCACTGGGAAGACTGGTCCCAACTGCCACAGTTGCTTATGCTGGTGCGCTATCTAATCTAATTACTACTACTTCCCATTCATTCTGTAATGCTATATAATATGATGATGATTGTATTGTACCGTACCGTCCCTTGTTCTCTTTGTGAGGCTTCAATTGGCGTTGGTTCTTGTTATAGGACTTTGCCTTCTGTGCCTTTACATGCTCACTGAGGAATCAAGGTTGATGAGCACGTGTTTCTCGTGGTTTTCTCGGAGAAGGGATTGCCCAACTTCGGTCCAAGATTGAAGATATCTGCCTAGCACCACCTCTTATTTTTGCAGTACTGCCCGCACTCTGCCGGTCTACAACCTTCATCTCGTCTCCTTCCTGCCAAAGACAACAACCTGCTAAGCACTAAATTGGCGACATATGTTGACCACTGTCCATGTAATATTTGTAAACTCTTGCTTCCATCGCGCATTGGACACAGTTTGTTTTTTCACAGGCTAATTTGCGCTTGAGGCTCGTATCCTTTGTCGCGTTACCCTGATTTAGGGTTTAGGATCTCCTTCTTGTTCAAATGTCTCGGCAGAACGTTAACCTGCTAATCAGACTCTCCATATTTTCTCAATTGATGGTAGAAATAGAGACCACAAAAGTTGAATTGGCACATTCCGATTTCCTAGCAAGCATCGGCTCAATAGTCAGGAGGACTTTTAGAGTCTTTCCTGCCATCACATTCAGGTTCAAATCGCCTTTGTGACTGCCAGTTCGAGTAGAAAGGGCGGTCGAAGGGTTAAAAAAAAAAAAGCAAGCACACATAACTCAAAAATCTTAATTGCCATTCAAAAAGTTCAGGTGTGGGGCGGTGTGCTGCATAACTCCTTGAGAGTAATTATGAACTTGCGTCTTTCTCCTAACCCCCGAAAAAAATCCCTCAAATTTCTTATGCAAACAAGCTGAGCACATGTCAAAGATCTAAAGTTTCAGAAACACGAAATAATTGACATGGTGTAATCATACAGTTAATCAGATGTATTTATCTTCAAAAAAAAAAAAAAAAAAAAAAAGGGTTCCCTCTAGGCTCTGGCGCACACCCAAAATTGCACCAACAGTTGAGCGATAGTCGGTCCGTTGTGAGCAACAGCCAGTTTTTCGGACAACTTCTACTTCAGTGTAGCTCCTTTCCTGGACAATCAAGCAGTAGTCTGTTGTGTAACTTCTGTTGCCCCATGGTGGACTGTGACATGTGGAACCCTAGAAGCATGCCAACCTCCACAGGGTTAGTCGCTCTCACCTTGAACCAAGTAGTACATCCTTCCAGGCTTCATAAAACATCCAGGTGATGCCAGAGGATGGCATGACTTTTAAACAACTTGCACCCCAACCTCTGTAAAGGCCCCTCAATCCCCCCTCCTTGATGACTTCTGAAAGTGCGGCTGCCATGTGTGGTGGGCATTTACCTTGTAAAGCTCCCACCATTAGCCGTTTTCTTGCCACTTCGAGAGGATAACTGATTGTGCTGGCTGTTAAACCTGATCGATCACAAAAAATAAGTCTTGTCAAGGGCAAATGAGACGTTTTCTATACCTTACGTGTAACATGTAGAAATAATCCCGTTCCTCCTCGTGGAATTTAACAACTACAAGATACAATTCAGCAGCAATGCAACCAAACGGGAATTTTCTCTGATGAGAAACCAGACGTCTAATACTCCTTGACAAAGCAAGCAACTGGGAAAAAAGTAATTATAACAAATCAAACTTTGTGTCCCTGCCTCCAATTTGGTACACAAGCCATCAGGCTGTCAACTAGCCACCTACTACTCCTCATTCCTCAGCTAAAAGTGCTTTAAAGAGGTTTTACCAGGTATCCATGGAGTGCAGTATAATCCTTCAGCTACTTTATAAGGCACGATGAATTAAAATTTTCACTTTTGAGTAAAACCTGTAAGGCACAATCATGTTGTTGACATCTAGCTTCATTAGAGCAAAGGTGTAGTCGCATGTGTCATTAGTATTTCTTATGGACTAAAATATCTTGTATAGACATCTACATCACCAAATTGAACTCTTGCAATTTAACGTGTCATTAGCATTCATCTCTCTTTCTCCATCTTGTCTTGTTTCACTATCCACCTTCAATTGTTATTTCCACTACACCTACTATAAATGACTCTTTTGTTGCTTAGTTGCTCTGCTTTAAGTAGTAAAACCTCTGCCAAATTTTTTATAACCGGACGTATAAGCAACTGGAACCATTATACCAAAAGCTTGTCCGTCAGTAGAGTAAATGCCCAAATGTTCAGCAAAATCAAAGGCAAGAATTTTATTTTAAAAAGGAAAGCCTTAATGAAAACTCTGAACCAGCACTGTCTCTGCAGAATTCTCACCTGACAGAGCTCCAAGCAAAAGCATCTCAGCTCGATTCAAGGATTCTTTTTTGTTTGCCAAGCAGTAAGACTTCTTCATGGTATCATACATGAAATAGTAGCACGTGCTATATGGGAGCATGCCAATCAACGTAGGTGATATACCAGCATATAAAGCACCAAGACCACCATCCTTGTACATCTTGCGAACAGCAATGGACAGATTGGGATAAATTTCTGGAGATATGGTCAACCGGTCCTGAATAAGATCAAAAAGAACGAAATTCATGCATTACGATTCTCAGAAACATATTAAGAAAGATGAAATGATCTCGTTAGCAATTTGAGTTGCTATATAAAGGCAACCAACAAAGAATGAACAAGACAATTGATGAGAAATCAGACTAAACAACTTATTCCTGATGCACCACTGTGAATTCTTCAAAGACTGCAAGATGCTGAGATGGTTCCAACTTCAAATACCTTTAACACTTCGAGTGGATGACAAGCAAGTGTGCTCACAACTCCAGCAGCAGCACCAGCCACAGCAACCGGCGAGAGCCAGGAGAAAGAAAGGTTCAAACTCAGATTACCAATAGACACTTTTGAGCAATCATTTTGAATCCATTTCTCTTGTGCTGAACTCATTGTTCGCTTGACACATTCAAAAGTTCCAAGCTCAATTGCCTGAGTAGGTATTATGCGCAGCATGTTAATTGTGTTTCCAGCCCATAGTCCCTGCCAACCTTGCTGTTCGATGACTTGAACAAAACTGCCACAGATGTTCTTTGAACCAATGCCAACTACCATTCTGGTCCTGCATGTTTTGTATTATAAAAAGAGGAATGCGCTTCAATGCAAGGAGTCTTATCTTCCTTATCTGGTGCACACGAAGCCCAACCAATAGTAAGAAAGTCACTTGCTATAATGGAAATGAACCTTGTTGTTCACATCTCTTTGATACTAGCTTAAGTTAGTTTACAGTCCGAAGTAGCCCTTGCTAAGAAAAGATGAAGAATAATGGATGAAGTATGAAACTAATTGTCATGAAAGGAATTGAAACCAAAAGACACATGTTCTACCGTTAGGTTAAATATACAGCCCGGTAGTTCTCCTCAAAGTAGGTGAGTCTGAAGTTTTACGAACCAAGCCTTATGTAAAGTCCTGAATAAGTAAGGGTTTATAAGATTTTGCTCAAAAGTGTACTGACTCTAAGTTTCATTTGGTGCACTGAAATTTGGAGCAGTAGATATACATACAAGCACTTTGGCAAATTGAGAAACTGCATTGGGAGAGCTTTGAATGAAACAACTACAGCGGATAAATATAAGGGGCGGAAAGGAATGACGTGCCCGGATTGCCCGGGGTGTGAATCTTTTTAATGATACTCATAACAAACGGGAGAAAGAATAGAAACAAGAAGGGCTGTAAAAAGATTAAATAGCAGTGGAGGGGGAAGAAATGGAAATGGAGAGAGGGGAAGGGGAGGTGAGGGGAAGAAAGAAGAAGCTAAGCATACCTGATGGTCTCGAGAGGAGCAAGAACGGCTTTGGTCATAGCTCCGGCCAAAGCACCGCTAAGAAACTCCGCAACTTCTCGACTCCGGAAAAACTCCTGAAAACCAACCAACCATCCATCCATGAGGCGAGTGAGAACTAAAATATTTATCTTATTTCTTATTTTAGGGGTGAGTTTCCAATTAGACATCAGTGTTAAAAAAAGGGTGATACTGTTAGCAGTAGTACCACTACTAATTAAGAGAAAAAGGAGAGAGGAAGTGGAGGGGGAGGGACAGACATGGAGGCGTGGGAGTTGGAGATGAGGTAGAGATAGAGTCGGAGGGCGGAATCGGAAATCCAACAGCAGCTGATGCTGATGGAGAGGGCGAGTGGTGGTGGTGGTATTGTTGGCAGCGGTGGTGGTGGAGGATGCAGAGAATGATGATGCAGCAGCAGCAGTGGCATCGGAAAGGTGGTTGTGGAGAAGCAGCAGGTCCTTGGGTACCACCATCATCAATCCGTATAAATCTCCCCCTCCTCCTCCTGCATCTCCCCCTCCAATCATCGAATAGCAGCAGCTCTTGTTCTGCGATTCAGATTCAACAGCCATCCAACACCACGACGAAGATGTAGTCGACGATTGATTGCGAAGCTGAATTTGTTGCCTTTTTTGGAAATTCGATGGGGAGGAGGCGCCTTCTCACCGGCTTTCCCGAAGCTCAGGGTTTAAGTTTTTTTTCGAAGATGTAGTGGACGATTGACTACGCAGCTGGATTTGTTAGTTTTTTTGGAAATTCGACAGGGAGGAGGCGCCTTCTCGCCGCGGCTTTTCCGAAGCTCGGGGTTTAAGTCCTTTTTTTGGTCCGGTGCTAGTGTACCCTATTCTTTAGGATTAATTGGAACTGGGACTGTCAATGTTGGACGTGGACGCTCGACGAATGATAATTATATAAAATTTTATTTTTATACACGTATTATGAATTTAATTGATAATAATATTATATATTATTAATATATATAAAATTTACGTTATTCTTTACTCTTTACGTGTCAATTCAAAAAAAAAAAAACTACTGTATTTTCTTGTTGATTTGGTAGGACTCCGATTATGATGATGCCGACACTCAACGACCCAAAACGAGAAGAAAAGGTAATAAAAGGATTTGTCGTCTTCGCAATTTGCGGAGAGATCTTGTCCACTCCTCCCAAAACCAAAAAAAAGGTGTCTTAGTATTTTCTTTTCCCCACGTGCAGGTGCAAAGAGATATTTTTGTTTTTCATTTTTTGTCCTCTTTCTTTTATTTTCCCTTTTTCTCTTCTCTGCCTGTGTGGCTGTATCATAATAATTTCACTCTTTTCGCGTTCCATTTTTATCGCAAAGTCAAGAGATACCCCCATTGTTTTTTCTATATTTCTACAAATATAAAATTGGATTCTCAAAGAAAATAATATATTTTTTTCAACAATGCTCTTTTGTAGCCTTACTTTTTTTAATAGGTTAGTATATAATGAATTTGACATTATTTATTAGTAGTGTTGGTTTGAGTTTGATCCCACCAATCATTTATTGACGGGATAAAATTCAAATCCAACAAATAGGTTAGTATATAACATAATATATCAGTATGTATATGATATAATGTACAGTATTATTAACATATAAAATTCAATAATTCTATCAATAATCGAAATTCAATAACTATTACCAGATTGTTTTACCAGAATGTAAAGGTTGGATACGAATGAATTTTATAAAT